CGTTAATATAGCTCTTACGCAAACATTTTTTCCTAGCACTCTAAAAAGACGTTTCGACCGTTAAAGATTAAAGGAACGACGGAGATGTGAAGCATATAAAGAAGTTGTCATTCACCTCAAATGCAGATGACAAGGCGGTAGCACCGGGTACTTCGAGACGGTTTCTACCAGCTACGAATGTTTTCAACTTCAGGATCCTACCTGCTTTGACAGATTTATCGTGGCATTCCGAAAGACATCGTGCAATGACCTTCAACAATGAAAAAATGAGAAATTTACAGATCCCATGAAACGGATTTTGGCAAGACAAAACCTTTTGTGAGTAACTTATTGAAACATGGCTTACCTTCCCACCGGCTCCAAGTCCATTATTGTTGAGTTTCAAAACTTGCAAGGAATATGCTGCTGGGGACACAAGAAAATCTTGTATGCCTGATATCATAGAAATCAATCCGCTATCACGGAGAAAGTACAGTGTGATATGAATTAAAACAAAGATTGGGGATTACTAATACTTAAACAAACGGAACATGAAGGAAAAAGAGTAATGATTTATACAGCAGATCGTTTAATTATGTCAGAACCATAAATTAATACTGACCCTCAGCTCCGATAGGACCAAAAGCATTGTCAGAAAGGTCGAGTTCGGTTATGTGACAGTTCGCGGATATTATCGCTGAGCATAAGCACTTCTAGAGAATCATAAATTAAGAATTGAAGTAGCGAAAACGATTGTATAGCTAACCAGTATGGAAGGAATCTCATTTCTAAGCCTTCCAGTGAACATATCGCTCCATAAACAGCGCTAAAATGCTTAAATGGTAAATGAAAAACCAAAAAAAAATCAAATTCAAGATATGAGACCTCCAGCTCTGGATGCTGTTCAAGAGCACTGGCAATGCGTTTTCCTGACTCGATTCCAAGTGTGTTTCCGCGAAGCTCTAACACACGCATACTTCCTTGCTTCTCAATTTGCTTCGCAATGAGTTCAGCTAGATTTAATTTGATCAAACAAAACATGTGAATGATTTTAGCACATACAAACCGTCTTGGGCAGTGTCAAGCTTTAACTGCTGATCCAAGAAAGAAACGACATCGGCATCACCATCAATATTGTTTCCTCTTTGCTCTACGACTTTCATGCAACCAACTCCTTTCAGTAGTGCATTTAAATCCTTATCATCACCTCCACCAAACTCTAAACAAGGAATTTATTGATTATTTGCATGCGAAGCAAGCAATATATCGTCCGATCAACTCTCTCAGAAACATTGTCCATGTAAAAACTGGATTCTCATTTCTTTTTTAATGTTGTCGGCCTCCTAGCTAAGCTATCTTCAATCCCAACCGAAAGACTCCCAAAGATGAGCGAGAAGTTCTCAAAGAAGCTTTTCGCAACAACGTCTATTCTACTGGCACCCGACCAAAGCCTACAGTTTTTCAAGCTCACATTTGTGCCTAATGAAAGTTCCAGAAAAAGTACAGCACTCAAACACTACTGAGTTCAACATTTTATGTTGAAAAAAAAA